TAAAGCTAGAACTTTTTAAAATATGAAATGGTTGTACATCTTTAATTATAAATTCAATTAATTTTTTTTTAATTTCATTGTTTTGATAATCATTGAGTGGTGGTATTGTTGGTTGAATTGAACCTTCATTCTTATCTAAAATCTGTATCATTTTAAAAGAAAGAACAATAAGCAACAATTAAATATATTAGGTGATATTACGAAATACCTTTTTGATCACTTCTCTAATAATTCCATGTTCCTTCCATAAATGTGTGATGGTATTTGAAGTAGACCCTTTATTTGTATTATATGAAAAAAAATAATTACATGGTTCGCCATTTGCTTTTTTGACAACACATCTCCAACCATCTAACATTTTTTCACAATAATTCCAAATAAAGCTCTTGTTTTTTGTTGTAGAGCTACTTAAAATATTAACATCTCTTGAAAAACTACCAATGCTGGTATTATTTGATGACTCAATTTCAGAAGATTGCAAAAAATATTCATCTTCAGGCCATGAAAAAAAATTATCTTCCTCAATATTATTATATGACATTTGTTCTTTGTAAATGAATGGAAAGGATTGGATTGAAAAGTAAAAAAAAATATAATTGAAATAATACAAAATATTATAATAAAATTTGAACGGAAATTGAATAAGTATTGTGATCAAAGAATTCATTTGTTGAATCATTGATAAAAGGTTGACCAAACAATAAAGGTTATATTTATACCAATTTCAAATAAAAATATGATAGTAAAAACTTGAATTAAAAGGGAAACTCATTTAATTAAATTAAAAATTTGTCAGTATGAAACTAAGTTTATTTATATGAAAAAGTTCATCCAGGTTCTTGTATGAATAAAAAAATCAAATACACATATCAAAAAAAAATATCAATGAATCAAATGAAATAGTTTTTCATACTTCAATTGACTTTCTAAACTTATAGCCACTCCTAAACATTATAACTAATCATCACTGAATGAAATAGTCTTTCTAAACTCAAGCTATTCCTAAATCATTAATTATAAACTTAAAAAATTTACTGTATGAAAAATTCATAATAATTAAAAAATCAGACATTGTAAGAATTACTTTTCAAATGTTATAGTAAAACACATTTTTATGAACAGATACTTTAATTATTGTAACAATACAATTTATCTTTATTTCTTTAAAATACAATCCTTTTTATATTGAAAATACATAATATAAAATATTGATAGTATAATTAATTATCTTATTGTTAATAATCTTTCCGGGAGATATTAGAACATGATAATAATTAATAATAGTGTTATGATGTTATGATAGAAATTAATTAATATTAATATTAAAGTATTATGTCACATGACTTGTTACAGACGTGTATATATCTTCTCTTGATAAATAATAAATTTTTTACTCCAAGCTTGTCTTCCTTAACTGAAAAACTTAAAATGAAAAATAAAATGATTTTTACGTTAAAAAAAAATTATTTCCGTTGCCTTTCTAACAATTTTTATATTAATATTAATATCTAAATATGATAGGTCAGTATCATTTTGTGACACTTGAGTACTCATGAATACTCATACTCAGGGTTGGGATTCGTACTCGTACACGTATACGTATCGTACAAGTACGTACGAGCTTAAAATTTTTTAGTACATTGTACGAACATATCATGTGATTTATGACAATTTTTATTGGTTGATAAATGTAATACACATTATATATATATATATATCGTCAAAAAAAAAAATTCATAAATTGAAAATTAAAAAGGACAATGTATATCGTTTTTTAATATAACTTCCAATTTCCATTTCCCATCGGAGCTTGTTGCTGGATGATCAATACTTTGAACATCCAAGTTATAAAATTCATCATCTTCAATGTTTATAAGCTCATTTAGAGATTCATTTTCTTCTTCTTGAAGAATTTCTATCCACTCACCCAAATTATTATTAAACTGTGCAATTACATCTGCTTCTAAACTATTATTATCCTGTTCATCATTTTGTTCACCCAAATAACTTTCTTCATTTAAGTTAGTATTTACATTTGAAGATTCGGCTTCCAATATCATTTCTCTTTCAATGCTATTCTGTTCTTCTAAATTTATTTCTTTATTTGATAAAGAAAGTTCTTGTTGAAGAAGTCGATTATATGTAATGCCAGCCTTCAATTTTGCCATTTCTAAGACTCTAGTGAACTACATATAGTAAAAGAAATAGTCAAATTTTAAAAAGAAAATAATTTACTATATTAATGTAAATAAAACTATATTTTTACCTCCAATCTATTTTGATTTTTTGAATGAAAAAATCCCATACTACTCCACAGTCGTTCTACTGAAGCTGCATTAATACAAATACCAAAAATATGTGCTGCAACAATTCCAATTTCTGGATAGGCATCCTGAACCCAGCACCAATATTTGTGAATATTATTTTCAAACTGATCAATGGAGGCATTATCAAAAGGATATTTTCTTCCTTGTGAAAAATCATAAAATTCATTAAGAATAGTTTTAGGTTCTTTTCCAGTCCATGCTTTATAATAATAAACAAGCCACTTCCCCATGTGTAAATAACTTATTTTTGATATAGAAGCAGAAGTGAAATAGTTTGATTTGTAAACAGGATGAAGAAGCCAAGAAAGAATGAGAAGAGGTTGTTCCCATAAACTCCATCTATTTTCCAATCTTGATAATATTCTACTGGCCAAGAGTTCATCAGAATAACTTTTCCAAAATTGATACAAATATGCATAACAATGTAAAACTTCATATAATCTTGCCTTGTCACTTTGTAGTTTATTCAAAATATTGCAATAAGGAATCAAAATTTGATCCAATTTTAAAAGTTCGTCCCAAAAAGATTCATTCATTATAATACAATACATTTCATGTGAAATTTTCAATGTATTTGTTGATGAAGAAGGATCAAATTTTATTGCCAAAGACTATGTAAAAAATAATTGTCAATTATTTTATTTGAATCAAAACTACTATTTTGAAGATTGTAAAAATAAATAGAATAACTTACACGTAAAGCATTTTTAGTAGCAATTAAACTTTTAAAGCAATTATGTTGACTGTTCCACCTGGTATTACATGGAAGTGCAAGTTGAATATATTTGCTATAAAGTTCTCTTTGAATATCACGAAGTTGGCCAATGAAATATTTATGTCTAGCATCTTTAAAATAGGCTGACACTTTTAAGGCATTGCCTGATGTATTTTTGAACTCAGATGAAATTTTAAAAATTTCCCCTACACAAATTCACCTGATGGGCAAAACATGGTAAAAAAACAATATTTCTATGTTTAAGTTGTAATCTTGCCCTAATAATTAAAGATTTATATTATAAATCAATAAAATATTCAATGATAGTTTGAGGCAATGAGAAAAAATTAATATGCACTTGCCTTGATGCATTATAGGAAGGTGCACTATCAGTTACTATTGATAACAATGTTATTTTCATATCTATTAATTTGGAAATTAATTCTTCAGTTTTAGTCATAACTTCAAACATTGTATCACGTTCACTACTGATATCCATAGCTTGCCATACACATGGTTCTCCATCTGACATCAAAAGAACGCATCCCATTAATTCTTGTTGCCTAACATTCGTCCATCCATCAAACATAAGTGTGACACCTATTTGATCTAATCTTAATTTTTCTAACATGACATTATCATATTCTTTAACTGCATCATTCAATAGTTTAGTGGAAAGGGTTTTTCTATCTGGTAGTTTGATATGTGGGTTGAGAAATTTAAATAATTCTGTTGTTTCTTGATTATTCACCCAAGATAATGGAAAACCACAAGAAATAGTGGCTTTTAATATAAGTTTATGAAAAACTTCATTATCTGCTTTAGATAAAGGTCTGGTAACAAAATTATCTAAAGGACCATAATTAGATGATTGAGACGAAGTAGAATTTGATCCTAATAGAAAAGAAATTAATTCATGTAATAATAAATAAATTGTTAATTAATAAATTATTAATTAAATAAATTATTAATAAAATAAATTATTAATTAATTAAATTATTAATTAAATAAATTAATTTACTTTTTCTTTTTATTGTATTGTTGTTATTATCATTATTATTACTATTACCAAGAGCTAGTATTTTAAGTTTTTCTTCTTGGCTATACACAACATGAAAATTTTGACAATCATTAAAATGTTGAATTATACATTCAGTTTTATCTACTATTGTTTTTAATTCATTGCTGTTTTCACCAAGTTTAATAAAGCAAGCTTTGCAGTAACATAATTTGTTACTAGAACCACTTTTTTGTTTTGTTTCAACAATGTAATTTTTCAAAGCTTTAACCATTGGAATAAAAGAATTATGGAATTAATGACTGTATACACTTGAAAGATATGGTTATGTTTTCAACAATTGATAACAATTAACGAATGTGTAATTTTTTTATTATTCATTATATATACTCTTAAAAAAAAATATATAAAAATCATGGAATATACTTATACTATTACTATAATAATAATAATAACGTACCACAGAATACAACAATCAGTTTGATAATCAAGTGTTACAACATCTGGTAATAGTAATCCATTAATTGTAATGATATTGTTATAGGATTTTACGGTGTAATATTTTATCACTGCAGAAAATAATCGTTTCTGATAAATCGTACATTCGTACATTCGTACGTATGTATGTACATGTGTAAAATTTCCTCGTACAGGTGTACGACCACAACGAAACTGTACGAACTCAATGGTATGAAGTAAGTTGTATGTATGTACGTACGTACGAAGATTCTTCTCGTACAGTGAAATTTCACAACCCTGCTCATACTCATGAGTGCGGATCTTTCCATTAATAGTATGATCTATGAGTACTCACGTTACTCATGAGTATCCAGATTACTCATGAGTAAATCATTATGAGTACAAACACTAAATACACAAAAAGGAAAAAATGTATATAGGCAGGAGATTATCAGGAGATTGTCAGGAATAATGACCAAAAATAGATAATTAATTTCCAAACGTGGTAATTTGGTTGACAAACTTTAAGGGTAGAGTGTAGTCATGTGATTTTTCATAACAACTGAAAGGATAAATTTTTTATAGTGACGATCATTTTCTTATGTCACACATTGAAATAAATTATAATAAAATAATTCTAAAACGATCTAGTTTTTAATAAATAATTACATCCTTTTGATTTAGCTTCAACAACCTTTGAGGCCATAAATAATCAAGCTACAAGTT